ACCCCTAATATATATATATATATATACACATACAAATAAAACCGAGAACTTCGGATACAGACACTCTTCAGGCATGTACAGATAAAAAAATGATACCGATCATCTTTGATATTAAAAAAAACAAAACAAAACAAAAAAACCCTCAAATATTATTCTTACCAACAGCATGCTGAAGACCAGGCAGTTTCCCACGCACACTGATGCACGACATCCTCCTCTTTTCTATGAGCTGCCATATTCTTGTCACACTCATATGTGCCCTGAACATTATGGTCTTTCTTGACACTATAAACACAAAGTAAATATCAAATACAAAACACTTAAAATCAAAGTAAAGGGTTAAATATCAATAACTACAACTAATCCAAGGTTGGACAGCATGCTCTGCTGTCAGGTTCTGTCTAAGATTTGCTCTTGTGTTAGAGATTAACCTTAGACCTTTTCACATGTGTACTGTATTTAAAAAAAACAAACAAAAAAACTGCAAAGCTCTCCTTTGTAACTTGGATTTCTTTTAAGTCTGCCTTACTAATGTGAATTAATAATGCTGGTTACAATTACTGTTTAACTTGAGTTCTGAATTCATGATCAAAATCATCCACCATACGTTCAGGTTTCACCCACATGTGACTATTTCCCGTGAGTGTCAAGCTAGTCTTGATCCACCCATCATTTCTATACATGTTCTAAGGAAAACTGGGAAATAGGTGCAGTGATTTACTAAAACATGCAAACTTACACAGAAATATGAAGCAAAAGCTGAGTTTATACCAATCTAACGAGTGTGAACGTCAATATTGTCCAACACAGTCATTTCTTGGAGTAGTCTTCAGGAATAGTTCTCCAGGCTTCTTGAAGGACATGCAAGGCTCCTCTTTGGATATTGGCTGCCTTTGGAGGCTAATCCATGACTGCTACATTGTGTGTTTTCTTTCCAGATGTGTTTTTACTGAACTGGCAGTGTGTTTGTGATTACTGCTGAAAAATGCAGCTGTTGCCAATCACATGCTTTCTGACTGGCTAAGGCTGACAGCACATTTCGACATTCAGAATTCCTTCAATTTTAACAAGTTCTCCCCACCCCTTCCTGAAATTCATCCCTAAACCACGACATAGTCCCCAGCTTGTTTTACAGGTGACTGCAGACACTCGCTGTTGTACCGTTCTCTTGACCTCCTCCAACAATTTGAACCAAAATTTAAAAGCTGGATTGAAATAAAATATAAAACGTGGGTTGGCTCGAGACTTTACAGTCAGACAGTACTGTGACTGTATCTCAATCTGATAACGCCATACTCAGATGTGTTAATGGAAGCAGATTTTTATAAATGAATCTTATAAAACTGAATCCAATTTCACTGAGTATAGAGTACATGTGCACAATATTAAGGTACAAAGCCTCAATTTTCACCAGAGGGGGAAAATGCTAAATTATACTCTTTCGCTGTGTTTAATAATTATTTTAGCATAAAGTATGAATCTGCAAAAAAAAAAAAAAAAAAAGAATAAGGAAAAGAAAATGACATAATTACCTCTGAAAGGTATTTGGAAAAATAAAACTGGAGCAATAAGCCTGGAAACCGTCAATAAAAAGCTTTCGCAAGGTGAAAAGTGGATGTCGGTTGCAGCTGCACAAACGCGCATCCCATATCCCCCAACTTCAAATCATTAACTTGTGAACCCTTTGCCCGAGCAGAGGAACCGTTTCACATAGATTAACTTGATATACAATACATATATATATATACACACACGTGTATACACACACACACACGCGTGTACACACACATATACAGTGGGGCAAAAAAGTATTTAGTCAGCCACCGATTGTGCAAGTTCCCCCACTTAAAATGATGAC